TCATTTTCTATGTTAATCACTTTCAGTGGTCACCATGAACACAACAACCATCTATAAGACACAAACCATCTCCCAGTTCCACTAAGCAGGCTGTGCTGCTGGTGAAGCCTGAAGTACTCTTTTTGTTACCCTTCCCAGCTTCAGGTTTGCTGGTGTGGTTCATTTGTTTTTCCTATCAGATTGCCTCCTGTTTCTCAGGTATTCTCCCTGTGTGTGTCTGTGTCATTAACCTCTTCTTAAGTGGACATCGGTCATATTGGCATAGTATCCCAGTACATTTCAGTACAAATGCATCTTAAGTAACTAAATCTGCAAAAAACCCTACTTCCTACTAAGCTTGTAGTCCAAGATTTTAGGCACTGCACTTCCATAGATGTCCCATGGCCCCAGGTGGTGAGGAATCAAGTCAGGACATTGTACATTCACTCTGAGCTACAGCCCCCAGCCTTGGACTTCAACATTTGGTGGGGACACAACTAAACCCATAACATATAGCTTGTAGGTTCTAGGTACCTTAAGACTAAATTCTCATCACCAAAAAAGCAAGTTATTTTTATATACAATGAACTAGCATTTAGTGGTTAAGTTCCTATAAATTGAGAAAAGTATTAGTAAATACATCAATTTTTCCATTATTAACTGGCACTTATAGATTTAGAAATGTCTAGTCCTGAGTAGTATATTAAAATGCTCAAAATATTTGAATATTGTCTCTTCATGAGTACTGATGATATAACAAATTAATAAAGAAATTAATATTTTCATAATTTGATGTGTCTCTGTGTGTTGCTAGGGATTGAATCCAGAGTTTCACATATGGTGATTCAACTCATGATGGAGATTAGAAGGTCACTCTGTGAATGTGGAAGAGAGACAAAAGGTTCAACTTCCATGACCACTAACTCAACCTCTAGAGACGAAAACTTTAACTCCTTTACCGGTGCACTGCCTCTATAACCCAAACACCTGTTAGGTTCCCTGCCAACGGTGCTGCAATGGTGAAAAAATTCCAGAAATAAGTTGCTGAGGGAGAAAACCACACCCAAGCCATCATAACAAATGAATCCACACTTCCTTAGTGAAACTCTAGCACTCTTGACATTTTAGCACATTTTAATATTACAGCACAAGGAACATGATAACCACTGTCTTAGTGACTGTTCTATGCTGTGATGAAACACCATGACCAAGGAAACTGACAAAAAAGGAAGCGTGCAATTGGGGATTTGCTTACCATTTAAATGGGGAAATCTATGAACATCACAGGCAGCACAGTGTCAGGCAGGCATGGTGTTGGAGCAGTAACTGAGAGCTCACAGCTGATCTGCAAATTTCAGGCAGAGAGAAAGTGACACTGGGTTTTGTGTGGGCTTTTGGGACCTCAAATTCCACCCTCAGTGACTCACTTCCTCCACAAAGGCCACAGCTCCTAATCATTCCCAAAACAGTTCCACTAACTGAGGACCAATCATGAAAAGATATGTGACTAGAGTAGTTATTCTCATTCAAACCACCGCAACCACTAGCATTTCTTGCATGTGTACTGTGTGCTAGCAACAGTGTAAGCACTGAACAAGCATAAGTAAGTAAATATATAAATAAATAAAAGTTGCCATAATTGCTGGGCCATGGTGACACCCACTTTTAATCCTAGCACTTGGGTGGCAGAGGCAGAAGGATCTCATGAGTTAGAGGCCAGCTTGGTGTATAAAATGAATTGCAAGACAGCCAGAGTTACACAAAGAAACCCTGCCTCAAAAAAAAAAATTGCTGTAGTCATGGTATTTCTTCACAGCAATAGAAACCCAAACTAATACACTAACCAAAGTAAGAGTGTTTATCAGCACTCTTTAATACAACTACTCAAGTGACATTGCACAAGTCACAAAATAGTTCCAAATGTCAGTAGTCTCGTGTGTAAAATGAAGGTATACTTGCAGTTTGCCTAAATTAATTAACAAATGTAAATGGCTTAGCCCGCATTAGCCATATGACAAGTACTCATTAATCATATTTATGAGTCAGAACAATATGATAGCTTATTATTTGAAAAGTACTCAGAGGGTGGAAAGACAAGATAATTAATTTTGATGGATAAAACCAGAAGAGGAAATTACAAGAAAAGAATGGGCCTAGAAGAATAGGGAAAACATGAATAGGTAAAAAGGAGCACTGATGTTGTAAAATCTGCACAAATCAACAGGTCCAGGCGTGCTGCCACTGCTTGGAGGAAGAGTCAGAACTGTAACATCACACTTTACAGCTGTGGGCCCCAAGTTCATTTCCACCAGCATTATTAGGAGTTTTTATTTTTTATTATTTATTTTCAATTTTTTTGAGACAGGGTTTCTCATTGTAGCCCTGGCTGTCCTGGAACTCACTCTGTAGATCAAGGTGGCCTCAAACTCACAGGGATCTGTCTGCCTCTGTGTCCCACGTGCTGGGATTGAAGGCATAAAGGCTTGTGTCACCACTGCCCCACCCACCAAGGAGTTTTTAAATGCCTTTTTATAGCCATCAACAATTTTCACTCCTCTGTTCCCATGCATGTGGACCACTGCCAGTAATCCATTGACTACTTTCCTCTGTACCCATACATTGCCACTCTTACAGCACCAGAAACAGCTGTATTCCATGCAATGGTCCCTCTGGCTCCTGGTTTTCTAAGTCGTATATATTTGATTTTTTTTCTTTCCAACAACCACTGTGCCTGAAGTCATGGGCCACTCAGGCCACAGGGTGAAGAGAGCAGTGCTGTGGTTTGGAATGCAGGGAGAGGCACCTTAAAGCCTTATCTGTGGTGATATTTACGATTTATTAAAGTTTGCCTGAGGATTCAGAAAGCAAAGTCAGCCTCAAGCTACAGAGATCAGGCAGTATGATACATACCTTTAATCCCAGGACTCAGTATTAAGAGGTTCAAGGCTACCATGGTCTACACAAGAATGAAAAGTAACAGAGTTTGTGCCTTCCATCCCAGCACTAGGAAAGGAGATGAGACAGGAGCAAGGTCTCAGAGCTAGCATTCATTTTCCAGACACAATGAGGATAGGAAGACATTGAGTCTCAGGATTCTCCAGCCACGCTGAGGAAAGCTGGAAAACTCAGAACCCACTACTCTATGAAAAAACAAACAAACAAACAAAAAATCAAAAAAAGAAAAAAAAAAAAGAAGAAAAAAGCAGACTCCTGT